ATTTTAGCCCTCAGCTCTGACTAACTCGCTTCCAGTCTGACTGAGGATAAACCAGCAGAACAAACTTCCTGTTTGTGTCGTCACCTGGTTTGTCGTCCTCGTCATCGCTGTCGTCTCTCTGCCGCCGCTCCTCGTCTTCCTGCCGCTGCTCTCCGTCACTTCCTGCTGCAGCCTTCCTCCGTCCTCCCTCCTCCTCGTCCTCGCTGTCCGACTGCATCACAGCCTTCCACTTCCCGCCTCCTCCTCCTCCTCCTTCCTGTTTGTCGTCGTCGTCAGAGTCTATCGCCGCCGTCTTGCGTCTAGCCGGCGTCTCTGTGTCAGAGTCACTGTCGGCGTTGGACCGGCGGTCCGGAGACGCTGCCGGTTTGGCGTCCTCGTTGTCCGAGTCGCTGTCGGCGGCCGCTTTGTGCCTGTCCTCCCCATCCTCCACGTCCGAGCTGCTGCCCCGGCGCTTGGCGGGAGACGCCGCCTCCTCGTTGTCGGACGCTCCGTGTTTGATCGGCGACGACTCCTCGTTGTCCGAGCCGCTCGTCCTGCGTTTCTCCGGAGACTCTTCCTCCTCCTCGTTGTCCGACGCGCTCATCCGGCGTTTGACCGGAGAGTCGTCGTCGCTGTCGGCGGGCCGCGGGGCCTCCGCCTCCGAGTCACTCTTGTCGTCACGGCGACCCCTGGGGGCCTCGTCCTCCGAGTCGCTGTTGGGTCCCCGGCGGTCGTCGTTGTCGGAGCCGCTGGCTGCTCCGCCGGTCTCCATCCGGTGGGCGGCGTCCTCGTCGTTGCTGCCTTCGTCCTGTCGAGACAGAAACAACATTTATCAAACTGAGCTGCAACGAACAACCAATCAGTCGATAGAAAATCAATCTGCAGCCGGTTAATAACAGTTCAACCACTTCTCTGAATTATTTTGGTGTGAATGAAAAATTTTCAGTTTTTGGACAAAATAAGACGACTGACACGTTGGACTTCTGGATGTAGGGATGACATTTTTATCCATGGATTTTCTGATTGTTTTTTGAACATCTTGAAAATAATCAACAGATTAAAAACAAACATTAGCAACAGCCTGATCCCAAAGTGCAGCTTTAGAGTTCAGTGATGTGTAAAGACGGTATTTTTATGTTCTGAGGAGATGAAACTTATCAAACATGTTCCTTCAAGGGTCAAAAAAAGACTTTCTGGAAATGTTCACGAATGAGAAACTGACATTTTGGATGATAATTAATTAAGAGTAATGATCTAATGAGAGCGTTTTCTTTCTGTGACTCCAGTTTTCTGTTTGTTCACTTGGAAAAAAAACTGATGAAGGAATGAAGCGACTCGGCCATAAAAACAAGCCTACGGTGGACTTTAGTGACACTTTGGCTCTAAAGCCGGTTGAATAATTTAGATCCCGTGAAGGCGGCTCATTCGACGCCGTCCGTTCAAACTAAATATCTAGAATTAACTTCACGTATGTCTGTTGATTGTCAGTTTGCCAGTAAACCCACAAACGAAGGACAAGACGCCAGAAACGTCTCTGTGGTAATGAAATCGTCAACCGACTCTTTCTTTTCATTATTAAACACGCAAACCAAACCAGAAGGCAGCTTTCACTGGAACCATTCTCTCTCAGTGTCACATTAAAATGCTGCAAACGCTTTTTGTTTGGAACATTTGTCCTCCTTGAATCTACACATATTTAATGAGTATTTGTCTGCAGAACACCCGACGACTTTGTGCATCTTATGTCGGACACTCGGCCGCTCGAGGTGCAAAGAGAAGTTTGTGATGCTCTGCCGTAAGTTAATTATTTACGTGTTTAATAGGATGCTACACAACTTCCTGTTTACTCCAGAGAGCAAACAAACGGGAGTAACGGGGTGACAAAGCGCTCCGACCTCAGACTGATGCCCGTCGCTCCTCATCTCTTCGCCATCGGACGCCGTGTGTTCGTCCTGAACCGGAGTTCCACCGCCGTCATCTGCAGAACACAAAACACGCATCAGGAATATTGTTCGGCGCTTTAAGGGCTTTTTGTATTTACAAGGTCTGCAACAAGTGACCCGGCAGCCGGTTTGGAAACTTCAGCACTTATAGTCACATTTAGGTCGACTGTAACGTAACCCCCCGTCAGGAAAAAGGTCCATGAACGAAGATTAAACACTCCAGAAGTAGTAAAATAATAATTAAACATGACAAACTTCAGAATAAGAGCACATATAAAGTACAAAAGAGGACATGAAGCTGGAAACTAAACCAAGAAAGATCTGTGTGTTCAACAAACTATGAAAGAAATACGCATTTTAGAGATCGGGAATAACTGAAACTAATATATAATAAATACAAGAAGAGATTTACGTTCTGAGGTTTGTGTCAAATTTAAGACATCGATCAATTAAGTCACTTTTCAGAACTATTATATAAAACAATATCTTCCACAGCCTGTAACACCAAAGCTCATGTAAAAATCACACATTTTAGGAATCAGGGGTAATTAATGCCTGACAATAGATATTACAGCTGTTTATAGTGACAGAAAACGTATGAAATAAATCGTCTGCTGTGCTACATGCTGCCTATAATCCACATGAGGCTGAGTGCAGGTCTGTAATCACCAATAAAAATAAACATTTAGGGATTTTCTAAGACGTTGAAGCCAAATCTAAAATACGAAAGGTTGATTAACGCCTCATAGAGGATGATCAATACACAGAGAATGAAAATATTTGTAATTTCGTGCAAAATGACTCCTAAAATCCACATGATGTCACCAGCAGGTTTAAAAACCAGCAGCTGAGCCGCAGACAGACACCAGGCAGTTCAGGGTTCTGGGTCATTAACACCTGATCAAATGCATTAATTATACACGGTACATATGTATAGAGGGAGAAAACATGCGTATAGAAACGTCTGCAGGATTAAATGATGCTTAAAATTAATTTGTTCTCTGAGATCCACTCAGTAAAGGTTAACTCACAGTCTGCAAACCTAATCTAATGTTTAAATGCTTCGTTTTTAGGGCTCAGGGGACATAAATGTCTTAATTCGTATAACAAAAACTACAATAAATCAATAAGAGTCCACAAAATGTCACCAGTAGTGATGAAATCCTACAAAAGCAGAACTTTCTACACCATAAAAAATAATAATTTAATATGAAGATCCTTCATGTTAGCGTTCAGCACATGGAAATCAATACCTAACACCAGCATATATCATATTTATGATGTGCTTATTGATCCGGCTCAGATCCCAGTCAGTCATTTAAGTAAACTGCTTTTATTATCATGAGATGTGTAATGATTTAATTATTATTAGGCCACAAAACAAGGAACCAGAGAGAAGCTCCAACCGAGCACGATGCTAACGGACAACAGGACACCTCCAGGCGGGTCCAGGTCGGAGAGGAGCCGCTGGTTGGTCCACATTTATAAAACACAAACATTATTCTGTCATAATCTGGTTAAACAGGAACCGAAGCGGAGCTGGAGCGGCGGCTGCTGCTCACCTTTCACGAAGCTAAAACGGGAAACATTTCCTGGAAGCTGCTGTTGACCCACAAACCACGCAGACGTTAAACTCACCGAGCAGCTAGCAGCTCAGTCCCCGTCCGTGTGTCGTGTTTACCGGCCAAAGCTTCACCAAACACCCGCTGGTACTGACTAAACTACCGGTTGGTTAGTCGTTCGGTACTAGTTGTTGTTAGCTCGTTAGCTCGCGAGTTCAATAGGAAACAAAGCGCAGTTCTTACCGGAGCGGCTCCCGGACATGAAGTCGTCCTCTTCCCCGTCCATTTCTCAGACGAAGGAAGATTCGGGTTCGGACCTGAAGGCCGGTTCGGCTCCTTGTTTACTCACCTGTGGTATTAAAGCGGCAGAAAGAAATGAAAACAAAAGTACCGCAGCGCCGTGAAAGCGAACACCAGCAGCTAGCTGCTGTAGCCCGGAGACCCAAAATGGTGTAGCAACCGTGATATACGCATGCGCGAAGAAACGGGCGCTGCGGAATGACGTCACAACACGGTTTCAAATAAACTTTATTATAAACATGATTTCAAGAAAAGTATACAAAACGGTAAAAACACACAAATGAAAATAATAATATATTTAAAAAGTCGCAGTTTTCTGTGAATTAACTGACAAAAGACGTGTTTATTCTTTATTATTGATTAAGTGTTTATCTCATAGTTTTAATTCAACCTTTCACAGCTATTAAACATGAGTTAACTGAATAGATTCAAATATTATCGCTTTTAATTTTTAATTTTAAATTTATTTTGGTCATACCATGTGATTTTATACAGTTCTTAGCCAGAAAACCGACCATTTATCTGGAATATAAAATTGTGACTTTTCATTTACTTTTTCATATTTGACTATTTTGCTGTTACACTAAAAGTTTTGACTTTTTAAATAAAAAACAGAATTTTCGAACAATCCTTAATGTAGAAGTAATGAGGAAAAATGAATGAAATAAAAAAGACTTTTTAATGAAGCAAATATGACACTTTTTTCCTCATGAAGTTCAGATTTAACACCACAAAGGTGACTTTTTATTTAACAATTTTTGACGAAGCTCATAGCTTTGATGTAGTAATTAAAATTCTGACTGTTTATTTCACAAATTTGATGTAACTCATATTTTTTTAAATGTAAAAATGTTTATTTTTGACTGAAGAAAATGATTTAATGAATCAAAATTTGACACTTTACATCATAGTTTACACCTAAACTATTGTTTTCAAAAGAAAGCATTTTAATTTGTCATATATATATATTTTTAAACTTTTCTCTGGTACACTGGATTTAATTGAATAATTTTCCTTTTTTTGTTCTGTTTCACTGTTTTGCTCAATAAAGTTTATTTTAAAACTCGCCAGCTGCTTGATGACGTCTTTGAGACGCGACGCAGTTTACAGAAGATCCACGCGTGTTTTCCGGATCACCACTCGGAGCGACTCGAGTCCAGTTTAAACCCCGGTGTTAGTGCGTCTTGTCCCGGTGTGATGGGGGACCAGAGCCGGCAGTGCTCCGTGTGGCTCGGCTCGGAGACCGGCATCCTGAAGGGGGTCAGCGTGTCCCGCAGACAGGCCTTCAACTTCTGCAACACGAGCCACCTGAGCCGCGACCAGGAGGTCCGGGCGCTGTGCTGGGCCGACCCGGCGGAGAGCGAGCTGCTGGTGGGCTCCGTGGACGGAACCGTGAAGACGTTCAGCACCGAGAAAGGCGCCTTCATCGAGAGCCGGCGCTGCGGAGACCCGGCCGAGGGCTGCTTCACCGGGCTGGCGGCGCTCAGCGGCTCCTCGCTGGTCACCTGCTCCGAGAGCGGCGCGGTCCGGGTCTGGAGGGAGGACAGCGGGGAGCCGGTGGCCGAAGTGGCCGCCGGGAAGAACGTGTGCAGGATGCGGCAGAGTCCGGTGCACCGGAGCAAAGTGGCCACCGGCGGGAAGGAGAACGGCCTGAAGATCTGGGACCTGGAGAAGCCGGACAAGCCGCTGTTCACCGCCAAGAACCTGCGGGACGACTGGCTGGACCTCCGGCGGCCGCACTGGGTCCGAGACATGGCCTTCATCCCGGACTCCGACAAGGTGGTCACCTGCACCGGATACCACCAGGTGAGTCCGCTCGGTGCCGCCTTAGACACTTGTATGGTACCAGACTCCATTTAAAAAGTGCCTGATTTAAAGTTTGTTCTGCTGCAGAGAAGTTTAGAACTGGTCCAGAAGTTTGTCACCAACTGGTTTATGATCTTTGAAGCTTCATCCAGACTTTGGCTCACATTCAGTACTTCAAGAACAATAAACAGAATATCAACACAATGATCTGAACAGAAAAAAGACAGGAGACAAAAAACAACAACAAAACAAACCAACAAATAAAGACAGGCAGGTAATTAAATAGAAAGAAAACTCAACCATAAAGAGACACAAAACACCAAATAAAATCACAAAAACACCACAACGAGACACTGAACGACAAAGAAAAGACACAAAATGATGTTAGAGACACAAAAAGATTAAAAAAGACACAAAAACACCACGAAGAAGCTCAACAAAACAAAATCAAAGTAAAAGTTTTGCTTGTGTTTGTTTTATTACATATTTTGAAAACTGTTTATTGTAGTAGAAATATTTGATAGAGCATCAACATGAGACTGAAAAAATCAGTTATTTTTTTTTTTTTTTAACAATTTAAACTATTAATTCTCAGTTAAACAGTGAACACAGAGCACAGAGGGACGAGAACAATGTCAAGAATTAAAGGTGACAGGAAATATAAACACTGTAGAAAAAGAAATTTGATTATTAAGATATGTTAAAATAATCAAATCTTACATGAAGCTGCTTTCAGATTTTTCTGTAGAACAGTAAACAACTCACAGTGTGAAGCTGCTTGTTTAAATAAAGTTGTCTTGAACCCCTCCAGGTCCACGTGTTCGACCCCCTGTCCCCTCAGCGGCGGCCCGTCCTGGAGGCCGAGTACGGCGAGTACCCGCTGACCGCCCTGTCGCTGCCGGCCGGCGGCGGCACGGTGGTGGTGGGCAACACCCAGGGCCAGATCGCCCTGCTGGACCTGAGGAAGGGGCTCGTCCGGGGCTGCCTCAAGGGGCTGGCGGGCGGCGTCCGGGGGCTGCAGTGCCACCCCACCCAGCCCCTGGTGGCGTCCTGCGGCCTGGACCGCTTCCTCCGGATCCACAGCTTGGAGGACCGCAAGCTGCAGCACAAAGTCTACCTCAAGTCACGCCTCAACTGCCTCCTGCTGGCCAGTCGGGACCTGCAGGACGGAGCGGACACGGGGGAGGAGGGGGAGGCGAAGGAGGTGAAGGAGGAGGAGGACGAGGTGTGGGACGCCATGGAGCGGGTGGAGGAGAAGACGAAGAGGAAAACCACAGAAGAAGAAGAAGAAGAGGAGGAGGAGGAGGAGGAGGAGGAGGAGACGCAGAAGAAGAGCAAGAAGAAGAGGAAGAAGGGAAAAGACTGAGAGGCCTTCGAGGAGCGAGCAGAGCGTGGGACGTTTGGACGCCGTCAGCCACGGAGAAGATAAAAACTGTTTGTCTGATGATCTGTGAGACTTTGCGGATGTTTTCTGAGATGAATCGAAACCTCTGTTGCCTTCTAACCGTTACAAACTACTCACATGTCAACAGGCCAGACTCCATTCAAAACATGTGTGTTTTAAGGTTCACTGTTGTCAGTAAAATGTCTACAAGTTTAAGTCCTTGTATCATCTTTCACATTTCCTCGACAAAGTAAGACACAAAACGACGACAAACGGATGCAAAACTACCACAAAGAAACTTTACAGACATTAAACATTTTCTGAGATAAATTGAAACAGCAGACGTCGTGCAAGTTATGAATAAATTAACAGGCCAGACTCCATTCAAAAACTGTCCATTTTAAAGTTTGCTTCGCTGTAAGGCTGAAGCAGCTCTCAAAACTTAATTTAATCCTTCAGATAATGATTTAAGACACAAAGTGAGACTTCAAATGACCACAAAGCAACATTACAGAGACTCTCTGAGACAACGTCATCAGGCGACTGGTTCGTACTTCTCACCTGAGCGTCGAGGTTCCAGGTGAATGTGCTGCAGGTTTAACGGAGGTTGGACATTTACTCACGTCTTCTTTTGTACACTTTGTTCTTTTCTAAATATAAAACTGTGGGATGACGATTAAAGGTCTTCCTGTTGTTACCTGATAAATATCTGCTTCTTCTGACGTTTGTTATGGCTCCTCTGTTACTGGACAGACGTCATAGTTCAGAGTTTTATAAAATCTCACAACTGCAAATATGTGAAAACCAGATTTTACAACAAAACATGACAGAGAGAAAATGACCAGAACACCACAAAAAACAACAACCCACGAACACAAAGAGACAAAATGACCATAAATGGATGTAAAACAATCAGAAACACAAAAGACCAAAAAAGGACGGAGAACACAACTACGACATGACGACAAGGAGACGCACAAAGAGACACAAAACAACCACAAAGAGACGGAAAGCGACACAAAACGACCACAAAGAGACAGAAAGAGACACAAAACGACCACAAAGAGACAGAAAGAGACACAAAATGACCACAAAGAGACACACAATGACCACAAAGAGACAGACACAAAACGACCACAAAGAGACACAAAACGACCACAAAGAGACACAAAACGACCACAAAGACACAAAACGACCACAAAGAGACACAAAACGACCACAAAGAGACACAAAACGACCACAAAGAGACACAAAACGACCACAAAGACACAAAATGACCACAAAGACACACAAAGAGACCACAAAGTGAGCACACAGTGAGCACACACCCACAGTCTGTTTCCGTTCAGTGGTTTTATTAAAGCAGCGACGTCACAGTAGTAACAGTGGAATGAAATGTCTCGTCGGCACAGACACACAAACACACAAACGTCCTCGTCGATCGGACGCTGAAACCAATAATCAATACCCGCCGTCGGAGGAAACAGGAAGTAACAGCAGCTCGGCCTGGATTCAGTCTTCTTACAAACACTTCAACAGTTTTACAGATAAAATCCCTTTTTTAGAAAAACACAAAAGTTAGAAACAGAAGCTCCACCGTTCAGGACTAAACACTGAACTCCTCCTGATGGTTCTACTGCTGCTGCTTCTCAGGTTCACGAGGTTCTGGGGAGGTTCTGTTCCTGATCTGAAGCTAAACTCTGAAAGCAGCTTTAAATCTCACGTCTGGAGCAAGAAAACGAACAACAATGGTCTTAGTGCTCCGATTCAGTCCCTCTGCTTCATGCTGCTGTTTTATATGTTTTATATGTTTTATATTCTGCTTTATAAATAAAATAAACGTTTTAACCCTCACAGCTTTTCACAATAAGAGCCTCCATCACTGCATCAAACCTGTTTCTTTTACTTTGAAGCAGCCGTTTCAGAATTGAACTCATTAAACACATTTTGCTCTTTCTTTAGTTTTCCAGGACTGATTGACGAGGCTCCAGGTTTTCCAGGACGACTGGAGCCTCGACAAAGTGTTTCAGAGATAAAATACGATTAAAAAAGGGCAAAAAATACACTGAAATGTCACCGAAGCAACTCGATCTAATCGAATTAAAACCATTGCTGTGATCAGAACAGCTCATTGCGGCGCCCCCTAGTGGTCAAACACTCAACAGTTGTGTTCCGTTATTCACACTGTTACACTACATGGTACAGAAAAAGAAAAAAAATATGATTTATGTCAAATATGTGGCTTTTAATCTGTTTTTTTCCCACAAAAATTCACAAAAAACGACTCTTTCATGTCAAAGTAAAAACAGATTTTTACAAAATAATGTAAAATAATTAAAAATACTGATGCAACGACTTATTGTACATTTTATATTTTTAATCATTTGACGTTAGTTTGTAGAAATCTGTCGTCACTTTGGCTTTAAAGAGTCTGTTTTTGGGTAAATTCTTGTTAAATGAAAATTGGCCAGAAGGGGAAAATGTTTTACAGCAGGACTGGTTGGATTTAGTTTTTACCCACAATCCTCTGCTCGGTAACAAACATCCCGGTGTCTCATGTCGGCACAAACAAACAAACAAACAGCTAATGTAACACGATTCAAAGCTCAGAGCTGTTTTGGACACATGTTCTGTCAGTTTGGACGAGTTTTGAGTCATTCTGGACTTTTTGTTTTTGGGATTTTGGACAAAGTTTGAGTCAGTTTGGAAAATTAAATATACCTTGGACATGTTTAAAAATCATTGTGGATCATTTTAGATTTAAGCTTCAACGTAGAATTCACAGAAAAGACTCTTTCATGTCAAAGTGTAAACAGATCTCTACAAAGTTATGTCAAGTGATTAAACCTATTCAGACAATTTGACATGAAAGAGTCTTTTTGGGGTAAATTCTTGTTTAAAAAGCAAAATTAAACTGATTCAGTGTCAATAATCAATAAAAGGGGAAAAACAAGAGGAGGACTCCTGACAGCAGGATGTTCTACGACACCCAGTTAGATGTTTTTACCCACAATCCTCTGCTCAGTGACGCCCCGGTATCTCCTGCGAGCACCAACAGAAAGCTCATTTTACAGAATTCTGAGCTCAAATTTGTTCAACTTTTCACGTCACGTTCGAGGACTGTTGGACGGTTGAATGTTCTGTTTTTATCGTTTCCGGCTCATAAATTCTGTCATTATGGGGATTTAAATAAAAAATAAAATCTGGGTTTTTAACTGTAAACACAAGCAGGAAATCTAAGATCGCTCCGACTTCAGCAGCTCCTGGAAGTTAGAATGTTTTTGCACCTTAAAACGACATCTGTGGACCGTTTAACTAAAGAAGTAACCAGAAGATTAATCTACGATGAAGATGCGCCTCGTTATTTGTGAGTTTTTCTATTTGCTGTCTTTACCTGATCACATACGAATCACCGAACATCTCCCGGAGGTCCCGTAAACCCAGAGAGAAGCGACTTCAGTCCTCTCGATGTTCTCACGCCGTCATCGTATAAACTAACTACAGCTGTCAGTCGACTACGTGTTAGATCTGTCTGTCGCCGTGGTAACCCAGCATCACTTGCCGTCTCCGTCTTCAGCGTCGTGTCGGCTGTTCGTCACTCCTCCTCCTCCTCCTCCTCCTCCTCCTGCCCCTCCTGCTCCTCTTCGTCCTCGTCCTCCTCGTCTCCTCCTCGGCTGAACTGCCGTCGGGTCAGTTTGTCCGGCTCGTGCGACGCCATGTCGCTGAAGTCGCGGAAGATGTCCTGGAACGTCTCGTCGTCTCCTGACGGATCAAACGGGTGCGTTTAAGGTCAAATAAAGCGTCAGAAAAACAAGCTTCTCTGGTGTTTTAGTCATTTTCATTCCACTTTTACTTGCCTCTGTAAAGCTTTCTCGTCTTATATTAATAAACTACATGAATGAATGTTATTGTGTCACTGACCCACGGCGCCGAAGACGCCCTCTGAGTCCCTCATCTCCTCGTTCATTCTGGCCATCCGCAGTCTGGAACACAGCAATGAAATGTTAAATAACACTTTAGTTGGTATCACAGCACTTCCTACGCTGCACGCAGACTTTTTAAATTTAATAATCAACCAGCTATTTCCAGGAAACAGTAAAAATATTCATCATTCTTTCCAACAGTCTGAGGTTCGTCTCATTTAGTGCGACCAACAGATCGAACTCCAGAAGTTTTGACCTTTTAAATGTGTGTCTGACGCCGAAACACCAGCTGCAGCATCTGAATCAGACAAATCTTCTATTTTATTGACGACATGTTTTGAGCCTCTGAACGTGCCGCCACGCTTCAAATGTACGTTTTCTTTTTAAAAATCAACAAAAATGACACCATTCATCAGTTACAACTCATAAAAACAGAGTAAATTACTGGAATCTTAAACTTTCCGATGGTATGTGAACGTGAAAAGCTGATGGTGGAACATCTTAGGGACTCTTTTTAGACTCTAAACTGGACTAAAAATGGTTCAAAATATTAAAAAATGTGCCAAAAACGACTCAAGTTGTCCACAACAGCTCAAAAATGGACATTTTGAGTCATTTTGAACGATTCTTAATTAATTCTGGACAGTTTTCAAGCTGTTTTGAACATTTTTTGACTCATTTTGGACGTTTGTTTCTTCTTCCAGACCAGACTTACATCACCTGGACACACCTGGACACACCTGGTAACACCTGTTGGGAAAACATCGGAGTGACTCACAGTGTGACGATGTCGGCGTGGGCCGTTTCCACGGCGATCGCCAGCGGGTCCTGTCCCGTCTCGTCCACCGCGTACTGATTGGCTCCTCTCTTCAGCAGCAGACACACCTGCCTGCAGCAGCCAATGAGAGTCAGCGGCGTCGACTCTGGTCAAAGTGTTACGTGAACAGGTGAGTGCGTGTCATTACCCGGTGTGGCCAGCGGTGGCGGCGGCGTGCAGCGCCCCCTGACCCCGCAGGTCTCTGTGGTTCACGTTGGCGCCGTTCTGCAGCAGGAACTCGCAGGCCAACAGCGACCCCTGCAGGCGGCGCAGAGAAACACGACAACGCCGCGAAAAACGTTGGTGAGACGGTCGCTTCTCATCAAAAACCTGTATTTTTCTAACTGGTAACTTGTTCTTTTACAATATTAGACTGTAAAATAAAACAGTTTTACTGCATTTAAATGAAAAAAATATGAATGTTTACAGATATTTGCTGTTCTTTTGTTTTTTTTTAAAGAAAAGGATGAAAATAAAGGATTTAAGAATGACAGATACTTATATTTATACGTGAGCAGTCGGGAATTTAGTCGACTGAAAAGTTTATGTCCTCAAAAGGCTTTTAGTCTGTGGAAGTTTGGACTCTTTCATCGTGTAGAAACTTTACTGTTGAGCTTCTGTTCGTTCTTCTCTTTAGAGAATCTAGAAACACTCTGGAATCGTCTGCAGCCTTAAATCTGACTAAGTTTTACGTGTTCAACATGTTTCCATCCTTTCTCACCCCAACGGCGGCTCCGATCAGCGCCGTCCGTCCTCCCTCGTCGCCGATGCTCCCGTTGACCTCCGCCCCCTCCGCCAGCGCCGCCGCCATGGCGACCAGGTCTCCCGCCGAGGAGGCCCGATACAGGCGCCGCCCGGCCTCGTCCTTACGGCGCTCTGAAATAAGAGATCAGAAGTTTGAGACGCTGGATGTGATTCTCTGTCAGGAAACGAAGGATTGATCCGCCTTCAGCAGCGCAGGACGCTGCCTCCAATAATCTAATCGAACTCATGAATCACGTTTTAGTCGCTTCATTCAAGCTGCTGTTGGAGTTTTAACAGTAGTTTCTGTTCCTACAGTTAATTGGCCAGATTTCAGTCTTTAAGCAGAGACACGACGATGAGACGTCTGAGGTGAACCTGATCAGCACCAACATGTTCTTTGTCTGCAGACGTGAGTCTGAAACGTTTGTGTTCAACCTCTGACGTGTTTCCAGACACTGATCCAGACTATTCTGGTAAAATCACACTGACTAAAAGTCCACCTGACTCTACAGGACACTTCGCTGACAGTCGGACTTACGAGCTTCGTCTGAGCTGCTGCTCTGAACAAACTTCTTCTCCACGTACTTCTCTTTGATCCACGTTTCCTTCTCGGCTCTGAAAAACAACCGTGACATGAAACAGGAAGCTTCGAATCAGAGTTTATCCTGAGACAGTTTAGAACTGACAGAAGAGCAACAACAGCGTCCTGATGAACATGATTCTGATTCTTTTTTTACCGCGGACTGTCGGCTTTGGGTTTGACTCGTCCCTCCTCCGAACATCGAGCCTCGTAGATCTGGTTCATCACGTCGTTTCCCAAAACACACAGCAGCTGAAGAAGAAGAAGAAGAAGAAGGATGTTAGGCACTAAGCCTGCACTGATTATTTTAGTATTTTCTAAACAGTCGCTTGTTATTTTAAACATCAGATGATCTTCAGATGTCTTTCTTTTAACAAAACATCCACTTTATATGGAGATAAGACAAAGTAAAGCAACAAATCTTCTTTATTATTACGATATTTCATATTTTTCACTGTTTGTGTGACAAATATCTGAAAGCAATAATTGATTATTTCAGTAAAGTTGAAGGTCCACTGATGAGAAGTTTCGTCCTCGTGTTCGTCTACACAAATAAATAATCCAGCTGCTCCTTCTGCTTCCTGATAACTTCACAATAAAGGCAGATTAATCTAAGCAACCCTCAGCCTTTTTGTTTCCAGTTTTACCTTCAGCTGTTCGGCCTCCCACGAGTCCAGAGTGAGAGACCTGACCTTGGACAGGTGAACCCCCAGACTCCTGGAAACATGACGGCGTCTAATTACACAATCTGACATCATATCTGCTCCATTATGCACAAAAGACTGGTTTAGATGTTGATGATAATAGCAAAGCATCAAGGACGGTGCCAAACATGCAAAAAAAATCCAGAAGACAGAAATATACTGACATATAATACACTAGTAATTATAGTTATTGAGCTGATATGTTTTGTATTTATATAATTTATTAACTGGAGGAAAGAAACTGAGTAAAATAAACTTTTCCAGGTCGAGATCATCACGACACATGACGGGAAAATGGTTAAAGTGATGCAGACATGGCTTTAACAATCCAGGAAATGAAATGAAATGCATGCAAATTTGACCAAACCAACCTAAACACAGACGATTTAACTCAATAAAACACTTTTATATCCTAATAACGCTGAACAACCTCCAGCTTCCATCACATTTCTAACAGAGCATCAGAGGTGAACCCTGCTGCCGCTACCTGTGGATCCCGGAGCACTCGATGCACATGGTGACTCCCAGGTTGACCGAGGCCCAGCGAGGTTCTTCTTCCCCGCAGTCGCAGCACCGGTGGTTCCCGGGGCCCCTGAGGGCCACGCCGAGGGCCGCCGGCCTCCGAGCCGGAGGTCCTGGAGAGGCGTCAGCTCCAACCAGGAGAGGAGGAAGCTCTTTGGGCTGGACGGAGGTGAGACGACATCGTTCAGGTCAGAACATGTGCGTTTATGGAAACATTCAGGAGAAATAATAGAGTCGGCAACAGTTTTACAGCCGGTGATGTAACACATAATCAGCTAAAGGGAAAAGGTTAACTGGTTGGTTAAACATGATAACTAGTTAGCTAACAGTAACAGAATAAATTAAAAGTAGCACCATAAACGGTTAGCTCGCCACTTACTTAAAAGAAAAGTATTTAATGATGACATGAATGCAATTACTAGTTAGCTAAAAGTATCTGATTAAATAGTTCAATGTAGTACGGTAATTAGCTAGAAGCAACATGTTAAATGGTTAATTAAATGTACTATCTTGTTTGATTAAAGGCTGAACAGTTAGCTAAACATAAAACTAGTTAGCTTTGAGTGAATGTTTAAATGGATAGTTACATGTAATAGTTAGCTAGTTAGAAGCAACAGATTAACTGTTGAATGAATGTAATGACAAGTTAGCCAAAACTGAATGATTCAGTGCTAGCTAAACATAACAACCACTTAGCTAAAAGTAAGAGTTTAAATTGATAGTGAAGTGTAATCACTAGTTAGCCAAAAGGAACATTTGGTTAGTTAATCAGAATGACTAGTTAGTTTAAAGCAACATTTTAAATGTTTAGTTAAATGTAACAACTTGTTGCTCAAAGTAAAACACTAAATGGAATAAACTAGCTAGCTAAAAGTAGCATATCAAATGTTAGCCACATGTAGCAAGTGGTTAGCTGGACGTCATCAATGCTACAACTGAAAGATTAAATGATTAGCTAAATCTAATAAATACTTAAAAGGAGTCAATGAGTAGTTAAACATAATAACTAGTTAGCTTAAAATAAGAAATAGCTAAAATTCAAAGATTAAATTGTTAGCTTAAAGTAACAAATTATATGGTTAGCTAAATGGAATAACTAGCTAGCTAAAAGTAAAGTAACGGTTTGGATATTACTCTCATATCCATAAATATGGAGCTAGCAGGTGGTTAGCTTAGCATAGCATAAAGACGTCAAACAGGGGGCAAGCTACGCCCAAAGCTAAATCCACCACCAGCATCTCTAAACTTCACAGATTAACATGTTTTGGTTAATTACTCTGTAAAGATATGCTAAGCTAAGCTAGCCAGCTGCTGACAGTCACTGATCTAACTGACCTCTGTGCATGCACCAGGTGAGCCGGTTTACCTGCGTGAGCTGGACGTCGGCCCTCTCCCGGTAGGCCAGGTCGATGCTGCCCTGCAGAGCGCTGAGCCAGGCCTGCTTCAGCTGCTCCGAGTCGGCCTGCAGAGCGCAGCACCTGAAAGCACACAGGTCATCTGCTCAGAGGACGACTGGAGATAAACAAACAACAACAACACTCAGTCATTCTGTGCGTGAACGCGTCTTTACTTCTGGACGGAGAGCAGCTCGAAGCAGAACCGCCGGTCGATGTGCTCCAGAGACTTGATGGCACACAGTCGGAGGTCCTCGAACAGAACCACGGACTCCTCCTGCAGAGGTTCAACAACGTTCATTTACCTTCAGCCACAAAACAAAGAACATCCTCAAACAGCAGCTTGTGACACCAGCTCCTCACAAAGCTTTAAAAGGTGAGTCTTCTTCAGGTTTGATCCGAGACGGTTCAGTTCTTACAGCTTTACTGAGCTGAAATGGAACAAACTGTTTTATTAATGAACCCTCTGAACCCTAAAACCTGCTGGTGGGTTTAAAGACGTGTCCTCGTTAGAAAAATTGCCAAAATTACACAATTTAGCAGAGCCAGAAATAGCAAAAACAGAAAAAAACGATACGAATTTCTGCTCTCCAATGGACCCTGAACTACTCTTCAGTGATGAGCCGTTCCACTGGCAAAATGATCCAAGTTTGAAATATTATCGCTTCTTTGAAATCACTTTATTCTACGTGTTTTATTGTTTAAAAACTGTCAAAAAATAAAGCATTTGTAAGAAACACATTCTGTAAATAAATAAAACATTCTAAGTTCCAGTGAGCAGAGGTGTAGGGCTTCATACTGCAAATAAATACGAGCCAACAGGTAAATATCATCAGCATGTGGAGCCAGAACGGCCACAAAGAGACACCGAACAACAGGACGAGACACAAAAAAACACAAAACTATAAGAATGTGAGACAAAGAAACGCTACGAAGACGAACAAATGACAGAAATAAAACTAAATTAACCAGAAGAGACAAAATACGATGCATAACAAGAAAAACGAGATGCAAAACGACTGAAGGGAGACAAAAAATAATGATAAAAACAAGAGAAAACAACCACTAAGATAGAAAACGGCCACAAAGAGACACTAAACATTAGGATGAGACATTAAAAAATCACAAAACTATGAAAATGCGAGACCAAGTAACACTACAAAGACCAAAAAAAACGACAAAAATAAAAACTAAATGAACCCAAAGAGACTTAAAATGACCAAAGAAAGACACAAAATGACAAAAACGAGACGCAAAACAAGACAAACGAGACGACGGGTGACAAAAAAAATGATAAAAACAAGAGAAAACAACCGCTAAGATACAAAACTGTCACACAGAGACACTAAACAGTCATAACGTCCTCCACAGTTAGTGGACGGCGCAAAAAAAAACATCCAGAAGCTGCTCAGAGCTAAATGCTAAGCTAAACAGCTAACTATTACCGCTAACACCTTCTGACTCCTGTCTCAAATCCTAATGCTAAGCTAGGCTAACAACATCCACACAAACAACCGTCTCATTGGACGTTCTGGGTCTAAATTCTCCATTTTTTTTAACCTGAAAGTTGATTTTTAACAAAAACAAACAAACAACGAACTCGAATGAAGGCGCTGCTACACTCACCGAGGTGCCGACGCTCGCTGCTCGTCTTCCTGTAATTTCAGGCATCGATGTCACGTGACCGACGTCGTGCGACGTGATTGGCTGTTTGATCGTTTGATTTCACACAGAATCAGCTGCTTAATTAGACGCTTTGGGATCCGAATCTGGCTTCAAATCTGAGTAAACGTGCAGCAGGTCATTGGAATTTATTCAAACTTGAATTTTTTAATTTTGAAATATCGAGTCGAAATCAGAGGCGCGAGATTTAATGTGATAATATGTGACGAAGGGAAGAAATCAAAGGTGTCCGGAGAGCTGCAGCCTAAACGTGTTTATATTTAGTCAGTAATGATCAGGTAGCAGCTACTTCCTGTTCCGTACCGATGCTGCTGCTGAAACGACTTTAACACCTTCAGATCCTCAGACTGCATCCTCCTGATGTTCAAGCAGATTCATGGAGCTTTATTTGTGTTTATCTGCTTCCTGTTTTGGTTTATTTTGCAGCTCCAGATCAGATCCTGTCTTTAGGAGTTTAACTGATTATAAATCCACCAGCAGCAGGTGTGTCGGTTCAGGTCCTACCTTGTGCGACTTCCTGTAGATCAGCTGGTTGTCTCTGATGGTAAACCAGCACCTGCAACACGTGTAAAGGTTGAAGTTAAGTCTCCTGAACGCAGCAGTGTGATCACAACCAGGATGTTCTGGTGGGTCGGCACCTCTTCCAGGTTTTGGATTTCCTCCTGGAGCGTTTGAACAGGTAGCCCTGGATGATGTCATCGCTACCGGGACACGGGCTGACCATCGGCTCACCAGAAGCGTCCTGAACACACAAACGCACAGATGATGCTGACGGACGGATGTTCTGACAGACGTGATGCAGGGAACAGTGATAGCTGAGGATTCCTTACCCTCTGCTGGACCAGCAGGTGTTTGTTCTCCAGCTCCTTCCTCTTGGCTGCACAGTCTGTAGACAGCTGCGACAACTGAGGGCACAGA